CATTGGAGATGCTCCGACAGAGACAAGTGCAAGTAGGCTTCTCTTTGAAACTTGTTCTCCTAATGACAAAACCACATTTCTCAATGGACTAACCACTTCTCTTCCTTCCTGTCTAAAAAAAATCGCTTTTTTAATTCTGGGTTTCTTCAATTTAACACTGCGTTTTTCAGAGATTTACCTTTGAGTAAAGAAGGAGACAAAGAGAAGGAGAAGAAGGGACTGAAGAGAGAGATGGTTTTAGAGAGTTGTTGCTGCAGGGAAACGAGATGTTGCTCAGAATTGCCATTTTTTTTTGTGTGTTTTCGTCTTCTTCAGGAATCAAAATGAGTCTGTTTTTAGTGGATAAGACAAAAGACCAACTTGCTTGCTTGTGGATAAAATTTGGTTTATTTGGATGACCTGCACAAAATTATTTACTAGAAAAAGCCCACTTTACCAACATGCATTGTTAAGTATCTCTAAATTTACTTCAATGTGTTATAAAATCATTTTAGATTTGAACTGTCTTATCTAAATTCGCAATCTTAATCTATTTAATTATTCCATTAAGTTGTTTTTTTGTTTGCTAAAATTTTTACTTAACTTGAATAAAGTTTTTGGAAAAGATAATAATCAAGTGAATTAAATCCGTGACATGTCTAATCTTAACATCTCTTTTGATTTGATTTTTCCTCTGAAAAGAATGGTTCGAAGAGTTCGGTTAAAAACGGGCAAACGGAAGTTGATTTATTGATAAAATAGTTTATACCAAATACATTATTTTAGTAAAATCGAGTGTTTTAAATCATTCGGTGGTTTACGTCTGTCTGTGAGGGTTTATGCTCCTGTACTAGGGTTTATTGCCCTTGAAAATTAATGAATTTAGTCAAATCAAATGTATTAAACCGTTCGGTATTTTACGTTTGTCTGTTAGGGTTTAGATTCTCATACTAGGGTTTAGTACCCTCCAAATCAATGACTTTAGTCAACATGAGGGTTTTTAAATCATTTGAATTTTGATGTTTGTCTGTGAGGGTTTAGGCTCATGTATTAGGGTTTAGTGCCCTTCATAATCAATGAATTTCTTCATATGGAATGTTATAAACCAGTGGTTATTTTACGTTCGTCTGTAAGGGTTTAGGCTATAATACTAGAGTCCGGTTTAGCACCAATTTCGGTTTAAGTAATGAAATCATTTTGAGAC